CTACCCTACTCCACTCTACTCCATTCCACTCCATTCCATTCTACCATGTTCAGAAGTAATTCAGTGCTCAAAGCTTGATGGGGTTGGACTTTTAAAATTATACAAAACTGATTTGAGTTTGCAGAACCGTTACTCATGGTTTGTTTATTTATTTGTTGTTTTATTGTATCACTAGCTGCTGAGGTTTTCTTTTGCCTAGGGATAAATACACATAGAAGTAAATAAATAATGCTCGTCCATTGTTGTGACTGTGTTAACAGTATGTGAACATGTGTCTTTTTTTTTTACATCCAAACCAAGATTCTAAATTCATCCCCAGGGAGTGGCAGAGAAGTTGAAGCCAAGACGAGATTCCCCTAAGCCAGCTGCTAAAGGACTACTGAGTCCTGGGGATTAATATTATTTTAAAAGTTACCCACATAATGGTTTTTGGGGGGCTGAGTCAGACACTTTCTGTTTGTGAACCTTATTAGCTTAAAAGAAATATTTGAGGTTTGCGTCAAAGATTCGGCATCATTTTTCAGAAATAATTCAGACTTCTGAAAGCCAGGGATTGTTCATCTCTGAATCATGGTCGCTGGGGTTTTTCGAGAAAAAAATTGGACAGCCATCTGTCCAGGAATGCAGAAGGCAGTGGTGGCTAACCTTCTGGGGCTCCTGTGCCAAAATTGCATGCTCACATGCCAGCACCCAGAAGGCAATGCATGCACCCACCCATGCCCCCTGCACATGCACACGCAATACCCCCCTTACCTGCACTGCACCTCTCAGGTGATTTTTGGCCCATTTGAAGCCTTTTTCGGCCTTCCAGAGGTTTGAGGACAGCTTCTGCAGCCTTTGCAGGCCAAAAAATAGGCCCGTTTTGTCACTTTGGGTATTACAGGAAGTGACAAAAATGGGCTTATTTTTTGGCCTGCAAAGGCTGCAGAAGCCTTTCTCAAACCTCTGGGGGGCCGAAAAAGGCCTCAAACCAACTGGGAGGCGCATGCATGCGCAGTGAGGTAAGTTTGCCTGCGGCTTGCATGCCGTCACAAATGGCTTTGTGTGCCATCTGTGGCATGCGTGCCATAGGTTCGCCATCATGGGTATAAGGACTCCTGCCTTGGACAAGGGGCTGGACTAGAAAACCTCCAAGGTCCCTTCCGGGCCTCTACAGGTAATCTTCAATTTATGATCATTTTGAGCCCCAAATTCCTATTGCTTAAGCAAAAAAGTTGTTAAGTTTTGAGTTTTGCCTGACTTTATGACCTTTCTTTTCCCGGTTCTTAAGTGAGTCATGGTAGTTAAGTTAGTATCAGGGGTATTAGTGAAACTGGCTTCCCCTTTGACTTTGCCGGTCAGAAGGCCGCAAAAGGGGATCATGTGACCCCCAGCACACTGCAACCCTCATAACTATGAGCCAGTGGCCAAGCGGCTGAACTTTGATCATGTGACCGTGAGGATGCTGCAACGGTTGTTAAGTGTGAAAAACAGTCATAGGTCCCTTTTTCAGTGCTGTAACTTCGAACGGTCACTAAATGAATTATTGTAAGTTAAGGACTACCTGTACTAGAGAGAGAGAGAGAGAAAGAGGAGGAGGAGGAAAGGAGAAAGAAGAGGAAGGAGGAGGAAGAAGAGGAGGAGAAGGAAAAGGAGGAAGAAGAGAAGGAGAAAGAGGAAAAAGAAAAGAAGAAGAATCTTTTAATCCCGGTATGAGGAAGTTGTTCAGTGGCCATAACTGTTTCCCGCTGACTTTGTCATAGCCGGCTTGTGTTTCCTGGCATGGATCTCAGGGCCCAGGTGCAGGTTGGCCAGGTGTGAATAAAGAGCCTGAATCAGGATGGGGACGCAGACGGCCAAGAAGGAAGCCAGCTCCTCCTTTGACGTGTGTACGTGTGTTTGTGTGTGTGTCACTGAGTGCCCTTTCTTTCTTCCCTGGGTATTGTGTTTTGCACGGAGTGGAGATTCCCAAGCAAGGGAGCACATACCAAGCTGATGATGTGGAAATAGAATAGAAATAGAAATAAATAGAAGTAGGAATAGAAAAGAAGAGAATTGGAATTGGAATTGGAATAGAATTAGAGTAGGTAGGGACCTTAGAGGTCTCCTAGTCCAACCCCCTGGGCAAGACTCCCTAACAGGAGCGTCCAACTTTGACAACTTTCAAGTCTTGTGGACTTCAACTCCCAGAATTCCCCAGCCAGCTACGTTGGGATGAGGAATGCATGACTCAGCCCCAAAGTAAATTCCTTAAAGAATGTACAGGCTGTCCTCGTTTAGTGACCATTCGAAGTTGCAGCGCTGAAAAAAAGGGACTTAGGACCGGTTTTCACACCTACGCCTGTTGAAGCATGTCCGTGATCAAAATTCAGACGCTCAGCAAACAGCTTGTATTTATGACTGCCGCAGCATCCCACTGATCCACATTTGCGACCTTCTGACCAGAAAAATACATGGGGAAGCCAGATTCACTTATCAACTGGGTCACTAACTTAACAACTGCAGAGATTCGTTGAACAGCTGTGGGGAGGAAAGATTTTCAAATGGGGCAACACTTCCTTAACAAGCATCTTGCTTAGCAATGGAAATTTTGGGCTCGACTGTGGCCATAAGTATAAAGAGTGTGGGTCCTACAACGCTGCCCTGGGGGATACTGCTGTTAACTGGAGCAGGGTTTGATACAGCGTTCCCTATTTTTACTACTTGTTGCCTGTTTGACAGGAATGCAGTAATCCATTTATGAAGGGATCTGGAAATGCCGTAAGGGTTTAGTTTTAACAGTAGTTTGACATGTAACACTGAATCAAAGGCTTTGCAGAAGTCTATGTAAATTGCGTCTATTGCTTTACCCTGGTCAAGTAGAGTAGTCCATATGTTTTTACAGTGTAGGTGTTGTAGGTTGAAGGACAATTTTTTCCTGAAACCAAATTGTTTTTTGGAGAGTAGGTTGCTTGACTCTAAGTGGAGAGTGATGAATTGGTTATTGATTGATTCCATGACTTTGCACGTGACAAAACAAGCTTAGGGGTTCTGCTATGGCAGAGGAGAGCTTTTTTAAGAAGAAAGTACATAATCCATCGGGGCCAATATTCTATTCTGTTCTGTTCTGTTCTATTCTATTCAACTGTATTTTCTCTTCCCTTCCATTAAAAAAAAAAGAAATAAATCCACTTTCAGGGGCTGCTGGCAGAGACTGGGATTTTGCAAGGAGCCCGTGTGATGTGCCACTCCTGCTGGTGTTGTGCTGAAGAAACGATGGCAGTCTTGCAGGAGGGAGGGGAGGGCAGGGGGAAGGGAGGGGCAGGGTCTGGACAAGCCGGGACAAATCTTCAGCACCTGTGCAGGCAGGTTGAGCTGGACTCCTGGGCCCGTCCACTTTCCTGGGTTCATGCAACTTGTAGCTGATTTGAGAAGAAATTCTGAGTTGAAGGTGAGGCTCGAAGGAGAAGGAGATACAGAAGGGAGTGTTATTCTAGCCTTGCGCAGAGGACCTCCAAGATCTCATCCAGCCCCATGATTGTATGATTCTATGATCTTGGGGAGGGGGTTAGACTAGAAGACCTCCAAGGTCCCTTCCAGCCTCATGGCTCTATGAACTTGGGGAGGGGGTTAGACTAGAAGACCTCCAAGTTCCCCTCCAGCCCCATGATTCTATGATTCTATGCACTTGGGCATTCTTCTGCTTTCTATCCATTGATTGATTGATTGATTGATCTACCAGTTATCAGGATGGACTGGCCCATGGGACTCCAGTCCCCTTTTCCTGAGTTTGTCAAAATGGTTGATGGAACTTTAAAAGAGTTTTATGTTTTTTTAAAATGTTCCACTTTTGTAGCTGAGTTTCCTGAACCTAAGCATTTTTCCGTCTACTTTTCCGAATACGGATATTAAAATAAGAATAGGATAGATAGGGTAGGGTAGAGTACAGTAGAATAGGAATAAGAATAGAATAGAATAGAATAGAATAGAATAGAATAGAATAGAATAGAATAGAATAGAATAGAACAGAACAGAACAGAACAGAATAGAATAGAATAGAATAGAATAGAACAGAATATAGAGGATAGAAATAGTAGAATAGGAATAGAATAGAATAGAATAGAATAGAATAGAATAGAATAGAATAGAATAGAATAGAATAGAATAGAATATAGAGGATAGAAATAATAGAATAGGAATAGAAATAGAATAGGAATAGAACAGAACAGAACAGAATAGTAGGAACAGAATAGCATAGCTTAGCATAGCATAGCATAGAATATAGACGATAGAAATAATTAGAATAGAATAGAATAGAATAGAATAGAATAGAATAGAATAGAATAGAATAGAATACCAGAGTTGGAAGGGACTATTCTATCTTCTTCTTCTTCTTCTTCTTCTTCTTCTTCTTCTTCTTCTTCTTCTTTTCCTATTCCCCATTCTATTCTATTCTATTCTATTCTATTCTATTCTATTCTATTCTATTCTATTCTATTCATTTTCTATTCTATTGTTACTATTTCCACAAAAAAAGTTTAATATATATAGAATAGGATAGGATAGAACTGGAAGGGACCTTGGAGGTCTTCTAGTCCAGCCCCCTGCTCAAGCAAGAAACTCTATACCATCCCAGACAAATCTCTATACCATCCAGTCTCTTCTTAAAAGCCTCCAGTGATGGAGCACCCACAACTTCTGGTGGTAAGCAGTTCCACAGGTTAATTGTCCTCCCTGTTAAGAAGTTTCTCCCTCATTCTAGACTGCTTCTCTCCTTGATTCATTTCCATTCATTGTTTCTTGTCCTCCCCTGCTTTGGAAAACAAATTGATGCCCTCAAATACTGGAAGACTGCTCTCATGTCATTCTTTTTTCTAGACTGGCCAAACCCAAATCCTGCAGCCATTCTTCATATATTTTAGCCTCCTGGGCTTGATTGCAAGGAGAAATGCAGGTTTCTAAAACCACACCTTCTCTTTTCTCCCGGGATTGAATTTGGGAGCCCCCATTCACACCTCTCCTCCTTTCTCCCATCTCCCCAGGTCTGCTGGCCCGAGTGTTGGAGACCCCGAGCAGCGTGACGGCGGTGTTTGGCAAAGACGTGGTCCTCCCCTGCGGCTATCAGGCCACGCAGGGCGAGACGGTGCTGCAGGTCACCTGGCTGAAACGCGGGGACAGTGGGAAGAGCACAGAGTTGGCGGTCCTGAATTCGGAGCACGGGGTCCACATCCAGGATGCCTATGCGGGCCGGGTGCTACGGCAGGGGCAGGGGTCCCTGGTGAATGGCTCCATCCTGCTGAAGAACGCGGTGCAGGCCGACGAGGGCGCCTATGAATGCCACCTCATCACCTTCCCCCAGGGCAACTTCGAGTCCCGCCTGGCCCTCAAGGTTCTAGGTAAGGACCCCTGAGGAGCTTCTGGCCTCCACGTGGCCTTCGGAGCCCGGAGAGGCCATTTTCACCCTCCTGGAGGCTCGGGGGAAGCCTCCGGAGCCTGGGGAGGGTGAAACCCCCCCCCCCCTGGTGCAGGAGGCCAAAGAGGCCACACCCACCCAGCAACCCGCCAGAAAACCCGTTGCTAAACATTTTGAAGCCCACTCCTGGGTTTGTCGTAACTTCCAACAGTTGCTAGATAGCCAGTCCTAAGTCAAGGATTTACCTGTATATACAGGTACAGTCTTTGATTTAAGGCCAAAATTGGGCCCCCAAATTTTCCATGACTAAGTGAGTCAAGTTGTAAAGGGAGGTTTGGCCCATTTTACGACCTCTCTTGCTGTGGTTGTTGAGCGAATCACTGCAGGTGAACCTGGTTTTGTTGGCTTTGCGGGCCAGAAGGTCGCAAAAGGGGGTCACGACAACGCTGCGACAGTCATAAATACCCAGCGTTTTATTTTAATCATGTGACTTTTAGGGACTCAGCAACAGTCCTAACTGTGGGAAGACTATCCTTTTTTCAGGGCTGTCATCATTTCAAATGGTCATTACATGAACAGTTGTAAGTCGAGGGTGGCATTGGAAAGACAGGTGCATGCAATGCAATCCTAAGTTGCATTAACAGAGGGATACAATCGAGATCAAGGGAGGTACTAATACCACTCTGTAAAGCCTTAGTAAGGCCACACCTAGAGTCCTGCATCCAGTTTTGGTCACCACACTATTAAAAAAAGACGTTGAGGCTCTAGAAAAAGTGCAGAGAAGAGCAACCAGGATGATGAGGGAGCAGTGGTGGGATTCCAAATTTTTTACCACTGATTCTGTGGGCATGGCTTGATGGGTGTGGCAGGGGAAGGATACTGTAAAATCCCCATTCCCTCCCTACCCCACTAACCTGCTTTCCAGCTCCGTTCTCCTGTGCAGGGCAACCAAAGAAGACCCAGCCAATCAGCTGAGACTCGGGAGGCAGAGAATAGATGAGGGCGGGGCCAGTCAGAGGTGGGATTGGTGGATTCTCCAGAACTACTCAAAGTTTCCGCTATCGGTTCTCCAGAACTGGTCCGAACCGGCTGAATACCATCTCTGGACTGGAGGCTGAAGCATATGATGAACGGTTGCAGGAACCGGGCCTGGCTAGTCTAGTGAAGAGAAGGACCAGGGGAGACAGGAGAGCAGCCTTCCAGTATTTGATGGGCTGATCCAGAGAGGAGGAAGGGGGTCAAGCTATTCTCCAAGGCACCTGAAGGCCAGACAAGGAACAATGAGTGGAAACTGAACAAGGAGAGATTCAACCTGGAAATAAGGAGGAATTTTCTGACAGGGAGAACAATCAACCGATGGAACAGAAGTTGCCCTCGGAAGTTGTGGGAGAGCCATCCCTGAAGGCTTTCAAGAAGAGATTGGACAGTCATTTGTCTGAAATGGTCTAGAGTCTCCTGCTTGGGTGGGGTGGGGGGTTGGACTAGATGACCTACAGGGTCCCTTCCAACTCTGATTATCTGTCTTAATGTCAGGATGGATGGCTTCCTGCATAGGCCCAGAGAAACCAGCTCCACCACCCTCCACTCCTCTCCCTTCTGCCCCAGAGGAGGTAACACTGGGTTCCTAGCTCAGGGTGGCTCCATGGGCCCTTCCTGGCTCACCTCAGGCCCCTTCCCATACCTGCATTTAATTACAGTGCTAAAAGTGTTTAGGATTTTACGGCAATTAGAATCTGTGCCTGCCTCCAGGATAGATAAGTTGCAAAGATCGTAGCGGCTGAGTTTTAACTGGATTTTTGAAAGTGAGCAGGTGAAATTGGAGCTGGAAAAACCTTAGTTGTCCAAAGCTGGTCTCTTTGCCTCCCCGACCAACTTCTGGAGAGGAGAATCTGCACTTCAGAATAGAGATATGGGGGTATCTTGGGTTTTTTTAAACTCCATGGGATGAAAAATAAGGACAGACACACAGATATACACACAAACACACCTGGCTGGGACCTTGTAACCTTCTGTTTTCCAAAAGGCCAGGCTTCATGAAGTGCATGTGCATAGAACCCGCCCATAAAACCAGTAGGAAAATTTTTGATGGTGTAGGCTGGGTACAGCCTACATCACATCATCACAAGGCCAATTTCACCGTTGGCCATTCCCCTCGGTGGACACTGGTGTTTTTTTTGAATGCAGGAAAATATCAATAAAGGAGAATATTTGTAGCTCAGGGTTGAAATGAGGAGTCCTTGGTGCTTCCTGAGCTTGGGTTGTTTTCTTGCAGACGTTTCATTACCAAATTAGGTAACATCATCAGTGCTAGATGGGAATGGGGTGCGCAGAGAGGAGGAGGAGGAGGACGACGACTATGGGATCCTTGGTGCTCCCTAAGCTTGGTGGTTTTCTTTCAGACGTTTCATGACCCAACTAGGGAACATTATCAGTGCTACAAGTGAGGGGGTTTGTAGAGAGGAGGAGCGGGAGGAGATCTGAGCCCATCCTTCTGAGTCCTCCATCTCTCCTAAGCGGCGTCCAATCTCCATCTCTTTGCAGTGCCCCCATTGCCAATTCTGAACCTTGGGCCTCCACTAGAGGAAGGGCAGGGCCGCACGTTGGCCGCCTCCTGCACAGCAGAAGGGAACCCAGTCCCCTCCATCACCTGGGAGACCGAAATCCGCGGCGTATCCAATACCCAGGAATCCTCGCACTCCCGCTCAGCCTCAGTCACCAGCGAATTCTACGTGGTCCCTGGGCGCAGCATGCACGGCAAGGCCTTGACCTGCGTGGTTTCGCATCCAGGACTGCAGCACCTGAAGAGGATCACCCACACCCTCAGTGTGGCCTGTAGGTACCTGTTCTTACCTTCACCTTGGCCTCCACCCTGCCTTGTCCTCTTGTAGATCTCCGTGGCCAAGCAGATAGACGGCCATCATCACATTCCACTTGAATTTGGGACTGACCCTTAGGCTTTGTGTATGTGTGAATGGGTGGGGATTCAAGCGTGCATGCACTGGAGACGGGGGTACACCAGAAACACCCCCCCGCCCCGCCACCCCAGGCCTGGAAGTCTGTTCTGACAAGGCTTCCTGAGGCCGTAACTAAGCACATGCTTAGTCCAAGCAACTCTTATTTTATTTCAACACTGGGAATTAAGTTCATTCCCAGCCGGTAATGAGTCCCAAACAGTCTCTCGATATAAGCACCCAACTTTCTCACCTTTGAATTGCTGCCAATAAGCAAAGTGCCAAATGAACTGTAAAAAGCCAACCAAAGTACAAAGTCCACACAGAGCTTCAAGGTTTAATCTGAACAGAGCGAACGACTTTGCTTCCTGCAAAGGTTTCTCTACCTTTGCACTTCCTTTATCCCTTAGGGGAGGGGCAATCATCTCCCAGCCTTACTCCCGAGTCGCTCCTTTTGTCTCAGCTGCTCTGGCCTTCTGGCAGCTCTGCGCACGCACGCACTGGGAACAGGCTCCCCTTGTTCCTCTGCCTCGCTGCTGCCAGACTCCGAAGGCTCCGGAGGTAGCACCCCACTCCCAGATGGTCCTGGCCCCATCTTTGCATCAGATGCAGGACCCTCATCTGAGTCCTCTCCAGACTCCTGGACTGGTCGCGTTCTTCCCCACTGTCTGATTCTGCTGCCAGCTGCACAGGTTGCCGGCGAACCACAGGGCATGTTAAGGGTCCCATCGATCAGGGATGTGCTTCTGGTGGGACCACCAAAGGGGGCCTTCTCGGTGGTGACCCCTTCTCTGTGGACACCGTTCCCCTGGAGGTGGTGGGCCCACACCCTCTTGCTTTACTGAAAGGCCCTAAATATGGGGTTTGTTCAGCAGTTTCCCTGGGACCCCAAATGGAGCCAGGAAGGGGGCTGATTTGGTTGTGTTGCTGCTGCCACAGGTTGAGATGTGAGATTGATGGATTTTTATGGGGTGACTTTTAACGTTGTAAGCCACCCAGAGTCACCTTTGTGTTAGTTGGCCAGCCATATATATTTGTGATGGGAGAGAGAGAGAGAGAGAGAGAGAGAGAAATATAGGTAGATATATGTAGATATATGTAGAGAGATGTAGATCCATATTTTTTAAAAAACATAAAAATAGATAGATGATAGATAGATAGATAGATAGATAGATAGATAGATAGACAGACAGATAGACAGATAGATAAACAGCACTTAGACTTATATAACACTTCACAGTGCTTCGCATCCCTCTCTAAGTGGTTTACAGAGTCAGCCTCTGGCCCCCAACAATCTGGGTCCTCATTTTGTCAACCTCGGAAGGACGGAAGGCTGAGTCAACCTTGAGCCTGGTGAGGCAGCATAGCTGGCTGAGGAATTCTGGGAGTTGAAGACCACAAGTCTTACGGTTGCCAAGTTTGGGGGGCTCTGATATAGACAGACATAGAGAGAGCGAGAGAGAGAGGATGGATCATAGATGGATGGATGGATGGATGGATGGATGGAAAGACAGACAGACAGACAGACAGACAGACAGACAGACAGACAGACAGACAGATCTGCTGCTTGTCTCTAGTTATAGTCCTGGTGATGATGCTTTCCTTGGCTTGAGGGTTGACCCCGGGGGTGTTCACTGTGTCGTGTTCCCCACTACTTCTCAGCTGGCTTCTTCTCTGTTAAGAAGCTTCAGCCCAAGGCCCTGGCGACAAGGCAGTGCTGGGGCTGTGCCGTGCGGGTAGGTTCCTCTCCCTCCCTTCGTTTTCTGCAACCTTGCCTTTCCTCTCCCCTCGCAGACCTCTCGGATGCCTCCATCCTGGGCCTGGAGGCCGAGCAGGACTGGACGGAAGGCCAGGAAGGGGCTTCTTTGAAGTGCCTCGGAGATGGGAACCCACCGCCCACCTACAACTGGTCTCGGTGAGTCTGGGGCCCTGTCTTTAGCCTTGATTCCCGGCTTATTGGGGTAACCTAAATGGGGCAAGGATCTAAACTTGGTTTGTTCAGTGGGCTGTTGGTAAGAACAGGGGTCTCTCTCCAAATTACCAGAATTCCCTAGCCTCTTTTCTTTCCATCCTCCCTCCCTCCCTCCTCTATTTTCCCTTCCTTCCTTCCTCCCTCCCTCCTTCCCTCCATTCTTCCTTTCCTCTCGTTCCCTCCTTCCTTCCTTCTTTCCTTTCTCTTCTTCGCGCTTTCCCTCCTTTACATGCTTCCATCCTCCCTTCTCTATTTTTCTTTCCTTCTGGAGCTTTTTTGGTAGCAAAAAAATATAAGAGAGGGTCTTATTTTTGGGGAAACAAGTCAAGGACTGCCTATGTCTTATATGTAAAAACACGGAAGAGTTCTGATCGCCCCAGTGTGCCTTTTTAAACCACCTCCTGTGGCTACCCGCCACTTGCTTCCAAGCCCAAGAGAAGAGCCATGCTATTCCTGCCAGCTAACGCAGGGGCACCCGGTCTGGCCCGGCTGCCACAGAGAGCCTGATCCTCCACAAACACCTCTTTCTCCATTTCTAGGCTGTCTCTTTAAAGCTGCCTTTTGCTTTGGGGACGGACCAGCTGGGACTTGCCTTGGGTTTCGGGTAGAGGGGCCTTAGGGCAAAATGCAGCTCGTAGCCTTTGTGGTGAGCCAGGAAGGAACAGCCAAGTCAGCACGGCTGGGTGGGTGGGGAAGTGGGGGGAGGGGGCTGGGAGTCTTCCTGGGGGTGCGGCCGGCAGGAACACAATGCTGTTGCCGGCTGCCGCCCTTGCAGGACTTGTCACACAGCAGCAGAAGAGCACCGGAGCGGCCCAGGTTGGCAGCCGCCCTGCCGGAGGGTACCTGGTGGCATGCCCAGAATGTCATCTCCTTGGTTTGATGGGCAATAAATGGCACATCCCTGGCCTTGCTGGGTTGTGAGAGGCTTCGTCTAAAACCGAAACCAGAAAGAAAACTTTGGAAGGCTAGAAAAGAGGGTGTAGGGTCTCCTGCTTAGGTGGGGGGGGGGTTGAACTAGATGACCTACAAGGTCCCTTCCAACTCTGTTATGCTGTTAAATCTGGTAATGGACTGAGTGTTTAATCCAAAGATTGCAGAGTGCAGAGAAGAGCACCTGAGATGATAAGATAAAGAAACAGTTGCTGGAATTGGGAATGCCTGGTTTAATGAAAAGAAGGATTAGTGGGTGACATGATAGCAGCATTCCAGGATTTGAGGGGCTGCACCAAAGAAGAGAGGGGGTCCCCTTATTTTCCAAAGCACCAGAAGGCAGGACAAGAAGCAATAAGGATGGAAACTAATCAAGGAGAGAAGCAACCTGGAATTGAGGAGAAACTTCCTAAGAGAGAGGACAATTAACCAGTGGAACTGCTTGCCACCAGAAGTTGCGTTTTCAAGAAGCGACAGCCATTTGTCTGGAATGATCTAGGGCAGTGATGGCGAACCTTTTTAGCACCAAGTGCCCAAGCCAGAATGTGCCGTGTGCACGCCGGAGCACCGGAAACCAAAGACCAGCTGGCCGGCCAGCTGGTTTCCAGATTTCCAGCATGTGCATGCACACTGGCCAGCTGGTCCTTGGTTCCCGGTTCTTCAGTGCACGCAAAGACCAGCTGGTGCACCGGAAACCAAAAGAGCAGCTAGCAATGGCGCGTATGCCCACAGTGAGGGCTCTGCGTGCCACCTCCAGCACGCGTGCCATAGGCTCACCACCAGGGGTCTAGGGTCTGAGCAAGGGGTTGGACTAGAAGACCTTCAAGGTCCCTCCCAGCTCTATTCTTCGATTCAACACTGTGGGGACTTAGGAAATGCGCCACTTTCTCTATCGCGGTGCCTCCTACCCTTTGGAGCACCCCAGCCCCATCCCAAGACCCACACAGCTCCCACCCTGCTGACATTCGAAAAGCCTTTGAAGGCCTGGTGATTTTCCCAGGCCTGGGGCAGGGGTGGGCACTGAGCCCCCCCCCTACCCCCCCCCCCCCCCCGGGCGGTATGGTCCTGTGGTATGTTCCCTGAACAGCCAAGGCTCTGTTTGAACTCTCGGTGTCATGCTCCTCTCTGTTTTAATTATATGCCTGCAGTATGACAGCCTTGCATTAAATAAATAAACGGTGGGAAGCGATCCTTTACACCTCTCCGCCGGCTAACCCAGTAGATTCCCAGCAACGAATGCAGGCAGTCCTCAACTTAATGACCATCCCAAATCTTGGAGGGTTTAAAACCCCCTCAATTCTCCCCGATTGTAGTTTATTTCACTTTTCTTTCAATATTCCTAAACCTTATTTTACAATGTTATCTAAATCCTTATTCAATTTCTGTACTCATTACACACATTTTCTTATATCTGTCACTTTTGTAAATTTTATCACATACTATGACATTCATTGTTTCTTAAAGTTCATCCTAGAATAGAATAGAATTCTTCATTGGCCAAGTGTGGTTGGACACACAAGGAATTTGTCTTGGTGTAAATACTCTCAGTGTCCATAAAAGAAAAGATACAGTCATCAAGAGCCAAGAATCATCAGGTACAACACTTAATGATAGTCATAGGCAATCAAATCCCTTTCATTGTCAATTCAAGCTAGCCATCCCTTTACCTTACACATTTTCCCCTCTTTACTCCCTTTAATTCATTATCAAAAATTCATGTTAATAAAGTCATTTTTTAATTACTACATTCTACATTTAAAACAATAACACTATATATATATATATTATATCAATTATTAACCAATCCATTATCCTCCACTTAGAGACAAACAACCTACTCTCTAATAAACAATTTGGTTTCCGAAAAAAAACTATCCTGTAATCTGCAACTCTTACACCACAAAAACATATAGACTACACAACTCAATCAGGGCAAAGCAATAGATGCAATCTACATAGACTTCTGTAAAGCCTTTGATTCAGTGGTACACGACAAACTACTCCTAAAACTAAAATCTTATGGTATCTCTGGACACCTACATAACTGGATAGAAGCATTCCTGTCAAACAGACAAGTGGTCAAAATTGGGAGCATCCTATCAAATTCTGTACCTGTCAACAGTGGTGTCCCCCAAGGGTTCTAGGACCAACTCTCTTCATACTCTACATAAATGACCTCTGTGATCATATTAAGAGCAACTGCGTTCTCTTTGCTGATGAGGCAAAGCTATTCAACACCACCGACAATACTGCTACCCTTCAAAAAGACCTTGTCTATGTATCAGAATGGTCAATCAAATGGCAACTTCAAATCTCAACAAATAAATGCTCTGTCTTACATATTGGCAAAAAAATCAGAAAATAAAATACAGGCTGAATAGTCAAGACCTTGTTGAGGATCCAAACTCTGTCAAGGATCTTGGAGTACTCATCTCAAATGACCTAAGTGCTAGAGCCCACTGTAACTACATAGCCAAAAAGGCGTTAAGAGTTATTAACCTAATCTTACGTAGCTTTTTCTCTGCTAATATCACACTACTAACTAGAGCATACAAAACATTTGCTAGACCAATACTCGAATGCAGTTCATCAGTCTGGAACCCACATTACGTATCTGATATTAACACAGTTGAGAAAGTCCAGAAATATTTCACAAGAAGAGTTCTCACTCCTCTATTCGTTGCAGAATACCTTATGCCACCAGACTCGAAATTCTAGACCTAGAAAACCTAGAACTACACTGCCTTCGGTCTGATCTAAGTATAGTATATAAAATCATACATTGCAATGTCCTACCTGCAAATGAATACTTCAGCTTTAATCATAACAATACAAGAGCAAACAACAGATACAGACTCAAGGTAAACCGCACCAAACTTGATTGCAGGAAATACGACTTCAGTAACAGAGCGGTCAATGTCTGGAATACTCTACCAGACTCTGTGGTTTCTTCCCCAAACCCCAAAAACTTTAACCTTAGACTGTCTCCTATTGACCTCACCCCTTTCCTAAGAGGTCTGTAGGGAGTGTGCATAAGCGCACCAATCATGCCTACCGTCCCTGTCCTATTGTTTCTTTTTATTTTTCTTATAAGTATCTATCTCATGTATTCAAAACTATGTTTATTCTTATATCTATTATCTTGTAAGCGATTGACAAATCAAAAAATAAAAATTTCCTGAGGATGTCCCAAAGCAAGGGGCTTTTTCAGGAGGCAACTGGACTTTTTTGGTTTTTTGTTTGAAGATGTTTGGCTTCTCATCCGAGAAGCTTCTTCACCTCTGGCTGGATGGTGGGGAATGGAAGGATTTATATTCCTTGAAGGCAAAGCTGGTCATTTGCATCCTTTTAAAGAGTCGTTGAGGCCACTTGGAGGTTTATCTGTATCCTCAAGGTCACCTGAGTGGTGCTCCTGGTTCCTGTAGTCTGCATTTTTTTCCCTCTGGAAATCCATTCCTATTCCCACATCCTTCAAAGGGTGTCCATCCCAAATTGTATAGAGCTAAAAGTCTCTAGAGATTCTCTTCATCCAGGTGATGGCTGTCCCAAAGGTGTTTTTTTCAGGAGGCCACTGGACTTTCTTGTTTTTTCTTTTGAAGATGTTTCTCTTCTCATTCAAGAAGATTCTTCAGCTCTGACTGGATGGTGGGGAGTGAAAGGATTTATATTGCTTGCCGACAGCTGGTCATTCTCATCCTTTTTAGAGAGTTGTTGGGTCGATTCACAGGAATTGCCCCCCAAAATCAGGAATGAACTTGGCTTGGTGACAAAGTGTCGCAAAACATGGAAAAGAGCAACTTTGCAATGCTGATCTGCAAATTTGCAAGACTGAATGCGCTGGCGTGCATCGGATACATCCCGGTAGAGAATTGGACGCATTTTGCATAGAATTCAATCAGTCACAGCTGGAAGGGATCTTGGAGGTCTTCCAGTCCAACCCCCTGCTGCAGCAGGAGACCCTATACCAGTGGTGGCAAACCTTTTTTCAGCTCCTGTGCCAATAATTGCACACA